CCATTGTCCCTGAGGAGCATTGCTGACTCTACTGACCATTGAGGGTTAAATGCTTCAAAGCCATCTAGTCTGCCCGGAGCTCCGGGATGTCGGATGTCATACCTTCCATCTGGAAACCCCACCTTGACCTGGACTATCATCTCGCCAGAGAACGCGCCCCGACTCGCATCTGAAGTAACGATGGTCCAGAAGACGGGCCCCAGACTGCACAAGCGCGATAAATTGTTGGTCCCGCGTCCACTACCACCCAAGACTTTCTGTCATTTGACTGCGTCAGGGATGAGGAGTTCCATTGCCGGAGGAAGCCCCCAGCTGGAACGGGCTCTCAGTTGCACCTCATGCAGCGCACCATCGGAATGCAGGCCACCAGAGCCCCGATTATCTCGTTGCATTGATATGCTGACAACGTGTTGCTTGGTAATGCCGCGGCTACTTGATTCATGTTCTCCGACAGGAAACGCCGTGCAATCCGAGGCATACCATCTGCGGAGGGGGGTAGTCACCGACTCTTGTACCGATTCACTAGCCATCCGAAATCGGCCAGAACTCTCGAGACAATTTTCTGATGCTGCGGTAAGAGTATATTGTCCAATAGTGGAGAGTCCCTCGAAGTCTCGGGGAGGGGGCGGGGGGATAACACTACAACCAGGACTTTGGTAAAGGTTCGTGGAGACGTTTGAGAGGCCAAAGGGGAGACACTGAAACTGCAGGTGGACCAGTGGCATCACAAGGGGGGTGCGGGGAGGGGTTTCACCCAGCCTCGGGACGCCCCTGAGGCGGACCTCTCCGATCTGGAAGTCCATGCGCCCTGAAGATCCATCGCCGTCATCCAGGCGTTTGGCGGAACCGATGTCGCTACCAAATTTAAAGACCCCATCTGGAATTTCTGAAACGCGGTTCAACTATTTAACTTCTCGAGGCCGAGGACCGGTCTCCATCCTCCCATTGGGGGATTTCTGGAACCGGTATAACCGAGGCCTTGCGGAATTGGTTTGAACTTTGTGGTGCGGCACCGAGGCCTCCGGAGAATTCTTGTTGTAGAGGAAGGGAAAAAAAAAAAGAGGAAGCCGGTTTCCAAACGTCGTGATATTTAGGGAAGTTAGCGCAGATGGTGAGAAGTCCTGAAGGCGTTTCTGTCATTTCTTTCACCAACACAACATACCGGCGTCTGCTAATGTTTCAGCAAGTAGACAATGTCTCACGGACTCCAGGTTGTCACACATACTCCATGTGTCCCAGGCTCTCTCAGCCTCCTCGGCTGCCTCCAGCACACACAGCC